TTAAGGGATTCAGGATGAAGCTTAACTTGTTTGTTGTAACATCTTCGACTCCTTCACAGTTGACTTGATGAAGCCAGATGCCACAATCATAATTCGGAATGCTAAGATTGACATGTTCAAGGGATCTATGAGGCTAGCAGTTGATAAATGGGGCCGTATTGAAGCTGGTGAGCCTGCAACTTTTGTTGTCAATGAAGAAAACAATTTGTCCTTGGTGGAGTACGAGTTGGTGAATGTCGAAGAATAGAAGTGGGTTTACATAACTAAGGTGGGTGCTATAGGGTAAATTTGCTTTTGTGGGTATCTGTTTTTGATATACAAATCTCACTCAATAAATTAGTTGTTGCGTTGAAGATTCTTAACATGTGGTAGGACTAATCTAATGTGGGTTCCTTGTAAAAAGGATTCACCTTATCAAGAGTGTGTTAAGGTGGGTGTTACTTGTTATTAGTATTAATATATGTCCATTTTCTGACTCAGATTATGTTTCTATTATTATTTTTCCTTGTTCTACATGGGTAATGAGTTTCACTCTTATTTATATAATTATTAAAATATATAAATGCTCAAGGAGAACGCAGATTGTTTTGCCCTTATCGTCTAATATTTACAATCCCAAATTTGGATCATTTATCTACTTCTGTAGTTTAACTTTACTAAAGCACCGGAAGATCTATCAATGTCATCTCAATGAAAAAACGAGTTATTAACTGAATTTGAAAGCCTCTTTAACGGTAAAAGAGAAGGAGAGCAACTTCATTGCAGACATCTATTTTATATAGAAACGAATTATACGTCTCTCTTTTTGGTATTGAAAGTCTACTGTGTGCCAAGGAAAACAAAGATCATCATTTCACTCCAAAACACATTAAGAATAAGACTCAAGCTCTAATGTTACGTCATCATTCTAGATCCATTGGACTATGAAGACATGAGCTTAAACAAGCATCCATCTACAATACAAGAACAAAGGAAATACTTGAGGAATGCAACAGATATAACAAAGTAAATTACCCATACAACAACAATCAGAAGTCAGTTAAGGAGTGGGGAGAGAGGCATGCGAAGGAGTCGAAGTTTAACAGTCTTATAGGGAATTCATAGCATATATAAGGAAGACCCAAAATCTTCAAACTGAAAGGAATTTAACCTCAACTACTCTGCTGTCTAGTTTCTTGATTTGGCAATTGAAGAAAACCTTGCACTAGTTATTTACTTCAAATCAGACTTTAGGAATACCACCCAACGTCAAAATTTAGCTCAGTCGAAGAACCCACATATTATATTCTTCAGAATTGGAATGTATCCAAGGACGCGTACAATTCCCCAGACAGAACTTAGAACTTTCCACAGATTTGGCAATAATATAGTTAAATCAAAGGTAAAAGTTTGAGTTATTTCATTTAAACAGGTAAAGAATAATTATAAATCTGAAACCTTGAGTTCTACTCATTTTTCTCGTTTAGTCATAAGTACTAGAAGCTTTAAAGGGGGTTGAACAAATAAAGTGCATCTGCCTCCAAAGAAGCCAGAATTTACTGGAACAGGTCAAATGGTAAGATAAGAAAGATAATTCAAAGACGGTCACAGAAGAAAATATATATTTCTTCATCAGAGCTCATACAGTACTCTATTTTTCAGACATTCTCTCAAGAGTGTGTGGACATTAAACTTCGCTTGAACCCTCCAACATTTCATCATAGATCATCATTGCAATCTGATTAAATACCAAGTATTAGAATGACCCTAAGCATAATTAAACTAACAGTAAATGAGAAAGGAAACAATTGTAAGCTAAGCAAGAAGCCTTCAGCCTATCCAATTCAGTTATATCTGGAATTTTATCTAAGGCACCAACTCAATCAAATGCTAGTATCTTCACATCAATCTATAATCAGGCAACAATAGCAACTTGGAACAAATATATAGCTTTAGATGCTTCAAAGTTCAAAGAATACTCCCAATAAAGTAAAATATGGTCAATAAAACACCAGAGGTTAAAGATGACATTATTAAGGCTTGTATAGAAACATTTTTGAGACAAATTAAGGCTTTAAACATCTCTCAAGATCTAATAACAATGAGCTTCCACAAGACTCCAACGTCTAGATACCAAAATACAGTCCAACAGAAGCCAGAATTCACAGAAAGGTAAGAGTCCCAAGTTCTCATTCAGTACTCTACTTATCATTTGCTTAGACTGCATGGATATAAAACTTCGCTTGAACTCTCTGACATTCATCATACATCATCATTGCAATCTGATTAAACACCAAGTATTAGAATGACGCTGACAACTTAACAACTACAACTGGAAATTCAAAATTGATATCTAAGCAACTTTTGGTCCCACAGACTATCTGATTCAGTTTTCTTGAAGCTTAATATGAAATTAACTCATCAACAATCAATACCAGCTGCATGATTCACAAATCTGCAAGAAATAGGTATTTTGATATCAATCTACAATCACACAACACGAATCATTTAAATGCAAATTTAAATTCCTAATACTATGTCAAAATATATCTTTTTTTAGGAATGCAAGCTGAAGTCATGAAGACTAAAGGAGATTCAGCAGGGAGTTAGCGACTGCCGGAATTTCTTCAGAGATTACAGAAGTAAAAAAAAGGCAAAAAGACACACTACAGTATCAGAATTGCAACTCTAACATATATTAGAGGTCACTTCAATTTTCAGCAAGTGTCAGAACACAATGAACAGCATTTCAGCAATATTTATGATTATGAAAGCTGCATCCTCACACCAACTTAATATCAAGCAACAAATTTGTCTATATATTTGGACGGGAAGTAATGATTGAGTCGTCATTCAACACTAGGGAAAGAAAAAGAATGGTAGCGTAAACCCAGATCATCCTTTTTCTACAGATAATAACATCTTTTACTTGGCAAATCCACAAGTTTTCAGCAAATTTAAGCTTAATTTTGTAAGAAAAATCTCAGATGTGAGGTTCCTCATCAGCCCTAAGTTAAACAAAAAAGGAAAAAAAAACTGGTACAAGTTACTTAAAACTCCGGCATAAGAAGATATTCGTATAACTTGAACTTCATTTCATGATCTTCATCTAGTCCTCTTTTGCCCTACAAGATCAAAGAATATGCATAGTTTACCTTTACTGGAGGAAAAGGAAGTAACATGTAGTAAAAACTATGGCTGATGCATAAAAACTGAATTTAAAAGTTGAAATAGTCAAATTTATTGATGAATAGTCTTTTGATGTTTTGAAGAAGAGGATAAAATGAATATTTCTATACAATTCAATAAAATCTATTGTCCAATACACATACTTTTTGTTCATCACCACTTCTTTTGAAGTTCAACGCTACAACAAATGCACACATTTCACTACTGCTAAGCGCAATGCCATGCAAACAACACTACCTACACATCATCTATCACTCGACTCAAAGGATAAACAGAGTAACAGATAACATGTAAAGCAACAAATTGTAGCTCACTTGCAAAGCAGTTCAATAAATACATGGTACAATCTCATTGTAACTACAATTCCACACATTCACAGACTACATACAGACAAAAACAATAATACAACAAGCATAGATCAATATAAGAAGTGCAAAATAAAGGCCTATAAAATTATACCTTCAAGAGTCCAACCATAACTCCGAGGAGTAGCAGAGAGCATTGAAGTCAGCAACGCAGAAGCAGTGGCAGTGTGATAAGGAAGCATAGTTTCCACTGCACAACTCATTTCAACAGGCGACCTTCATATAAATTGCCAAAATTCAAAAGCTTCAATATCTTATCACAATACTAATACTCAATTAATCGATGAAATATACAAAATATAACATTGTGCTTATTGCGTGACCTGAAAATGCGAGCAGCGAGGGGTTTTTGAGTGGGCATGCGAAAGGGAGAAGGAGCGGCCTTGGGTTTGGCACCGGCGGCAAATCTCGTGGCGGCGGTTCTGGCGGAGGAAGTGGCAGAGCGAAGGACGGACCTGGCGGCGAAAGTGGCCATTTTCGGATCGGCGAAAGCTCTGAGAGAGATGTGTTTCTACCGGTAAAATGCTAAAAGGGCTTTGTTGGGGTTTTAGGTTCTGCGATTTCGGGCCGGTTCAAGTCTTTTTTTGTTATGGGTAAAAAGACCACAAAAGAAAGAGTAATGACATTAGAGGTCACTAACTTATTTTGAAGAATATAAAGAATGAGATTTAACTAATTCATTTGTATTATTAGTCAATGACACTAGATATCATCTGTAGTTCTTGTTTAGTTTGGTAAATAATTATAGGGTAAGATCGTTTTTTTGATATGGGGCTGACGATAGAGGTCAAGGGTTGCAAGAGAATCGCTAGGCTAAGAGTTGGATCTTGGAATATAGAGTGTTTGATAGGAAAATCAAGAAGAAAAATTAACATAAGCATGTGAATATGAGATACAAACGGATTAAAATTATGATACTTTGAAGGTTCGAACAGGAAATGAGTAGGCATTTTAGTGTATAGGGAACTTGGGAAGCTAGTGGTAGAGGTTATAAGGGTAAACGCTAGAATGATGGTGATTGAGCTAGTTATTAAAGGTTTTACCTTGAAGATGATTAGTGCATACACACTAAATATGAGATTGAACGAAGAAGATAAAAGACGATTCTCGAAAGAGTTAGGCAGGGTTATTTGAGGTATTACACACCCTAGTAAACTTTTTTCTAAGAGGAGATTTCAATTGCCACATTAGGCCATTTCAAGGGACTACGATGATGTTCATGGTGGTTTTGATTTTGAGACGGAACGAAAAAACAATTTAGCTTTTACAATTCTCATTTGATGTTACCTATTCAAGATTACCAAGAAAGAATAAGTAGGTCATCTTCTAAAGTACGATGACTAAGACTCAAATAGATTACTTACTTTTTTAAGAAGTAAGATAAATTTCCATATAAAAATTACAATATTATCCTAAATGAATATCTTACAACTCAGCGGATAGCATAAATAAAAATTAACAGTGAAATTTTTCGACAAAGGAATTCTCCTTTTTATTAGGGTAGTGTTTAGTAGGAGTCAATTGATAAATATATACAGAAAGAAGGAAGGAACAACAAAGCGCCTGTAGCTCAGTGGATAGAGCGTCTGTTTCCTAAGCAGAAGGTCGTAGGTTCGACCCCTACCTGGCGCGTTTCATTTTTCCAAACTCTAGTATTTTTTTTTTTGTCTACAAGTTATTTTATCACCAAAATACAATTCATTTTTCCAAACTAAAGTCTTTTTTTTTTGTCTACAATTGTGTTATTTTATTATCAAAATACAAAGAAGAAAAACAGAAATGACAAAGCAGCATTACTAGTGTCACAATCAATTTGTGGGAAATAAAATCAGTTTTTAGGTGAGTGTGAATTACTCTTACTACGAGTCATCTTCTCTAACACATTATGTAGCAATGGAACACAGAGTTTATATGACATATTATCTCCTTGTTGTCCCTTGTAATCCTCTGCCTCTGATCTTGTAACACAAACATCCTCATTATGAACTCTGTTTGATATTCCTCTGCTTCTTGGTTTAATACCGATAAGTCGGCCTAGAGACACACTTTGATCTTGGAAAAAGGACATTGTAGACTGAAAAACAAATCCCAAAGGAGTAACTTTAGTGTCTTACTGTTTTCAAATCGAGCTAGTTAAAAGTTCTATGAAATTAAACAATTACAGAAATTACCTCAGTGTCTAGGCTGGAGGATGAAAAAGATGAGAAACTTGGCGAAGATACGTACAAACCGTATGCAGCTTCTCCTCCTGCTGCAACTGTTACAGCCTGAGATCTCTCAGCTACTCTAAGCCTTATGTTCATGTTTTCAAGCCCAAGTGGCCATCCACTAGGTACCTCATGCTCCTAAAATTTACCGGTTCAATCAATCAATTAACTGCGTCTCAATCTCAAAATTAGTTGTGATAGACTATATGATCATTTGTCTTTAGATTTATTCATAATAGCAAAAAGAATGCACATCCGGTGTAATTCTATAACTGGAGTCTAGGAAGATCGGCGTGCACACAACCCCTGCAAACAAGAAATCTCTACTCTCTTTTCATTTTTCATGATCATAGGTAGATTTAGTGCAAGTTCAAAATAATAGGCGGATTTAGGATAAGGTTACGATGGATTCAACTACTCATTACTTTCAACTCAAACTTGGTATTCACATAAAAAATACTATATGTAGTAAGAACACACTTACTATAAATCTAACCAATCTAATTCTGAATTCGCCTCTGATCAAGATTGGTGAGCTATCATAAGCAGTCTTGAATGGATACTCGAAATCTATGTTATGTGTTATAGAAAGCTATCAAGATTAAACACCAATGGAATATTAGTACTATAAAAACTTTTAAACTATGAATCTTGATTCCTAAAACAATCAAACATGAGAATTGATTCAATGAACAAGACGAGTGGTGCAATAATAAAATATTTATGTTTACCTGTGTTACAACCATGGCTTGTACGAAGAGATGATTAAAAAAAGAGTTAATTTGGAAGGAGCCAAGTTTAAAATGCAAAAATATAAAAAAAAAATAAATAGAGAGAGGTGATGTATGTATCACTTTATGGAGTCTTTATTACAATTTTCACATTTTTTTCCTAAATCAATTTGAGCAGTTGGATGATCTTTCCCAGGCCCCACTCAGGAGTTGAGCTATTATATCTCACTTACACCTAGGGTCCCCTTCATGTAACAATACTTGTAGATCTACTTCAAAGCACGAGATTTATTATCGGAGCAAATTACAGAAATCACAATTTAATCTATTTTTTAAAAATTTATAATTATAAAAAAAATTTAAAATAGATACAATAATATAAGCGTTTATAAATTAATCTAATGTGCGAGATACATTAATCATTAAGTAAGATGCATTACATTTATACACGATACATTAATTTGATGTACATTTTATACATGATACACTGATTTGATGCGCGAGATACATTAATCTGATGAGCGGGATACACTAATCTGATGTGCGAGGTACATTTTATACATGATATATTAATATGATGTGCGAGATACACTAATATAATTCACGAGATATTTTAATTTGATACGCGAGATACATTACTGTGATGCACGAAAATGAGGAATTTTGAAAATTTGTAAAACTCATAGAAAATAATGATAATAACTAAACCAAAACGTAGAATTTCCGTAATTAATCCTCATCATAATTATTATTCGAAATTAGAATATGATAATATGATATCGGATTTCGTGTATTGAGAACTTGAAACTTAAAAAGAATCGAGAGTAGGGGCCAATTCGACATTTCAACAACAACAAAAAAAAAACTTAAAAAGGTGGACTCATAATTTAAGTTGGATCAAAATTAATGACTCTCTTTCTGGAAGTACAATACGTTATCATACGTGAAAACTCATTTTAAGGGCCCGTTTAGCTCAGCTTAAAAGCTGGTCAACCTGACTTAAAAAGATGGTTTTTGACTTATGTAGCTGTTTGGCAATATTCAAAATAACTTATTTTAAATTAATAAAAAAATTATTTTAAGACAAAAATTAAAAGCTGGGTAGGGATACAAATTACCCATATAACCCTAACATCTCTTTCTTCCATTTTTCCCTTTTTCATGTTTGGCATAGCAACTTCAGCACTTTTATCCAAACGCATAACTGCTTATTTTAAAAATAAGTTTCAGCACTTTCAAAATTATTTTTTATAGCAACTTCAGCACTTTTATCCAAACGCATAACTGCTTATTTTAAAAATAAGTTTCAGCACTTTCAAAATTATTTTTTTAAAACTGCTTTTATTAAGCTCATCCAAACAGGTAAATCAACTATTCCATATTTTACCTAACAAAATAAAATGATAAACGAGGTCCTCCTTTTTATTTATGGGTCGATATCATTAAATAAATATTAGATGTGGTTTTGTAATTAATGGAGTAACAATTTAAGTTTTCATGTTTTTGCTAAACAAGATAAAATGAACGGTCCACCTTGAGAGATAGAGTTGAATTTGATAGGTTAGCAGTTCATGAAATTATATATCACTTACTAATTAATGCGACATCTTGAAAATTATGGTGGTTGAATATAATTAAATATTGCTGGTTACTGCTTCATTTTCAGCCTTCATCATTTCAATGAAACTTAGATATCATATATTGGGTTCTAAAATATTGAGAGATTAAATATTAGATGATTTTTTTCATTTTTTTAAATTAAAAAACCACTAATTAGATGTGTCATTGTTGAGGCTAGGGGCAGCAGAGGTATCTGTGGTAAAGGGTTCATTCGAATTAACTTCGATAAAAAATTATACTGTTTATATATAATTAAAAGATTTTTTAATATATATATATATATATAATATATGTCGAATTCACTTAAATTAATTCGTTTGTTTTTCTCTTTAAATTTTATATCTCAAAATGAAAATTTTAATTTTATCACTGATCGACGTATAAAGTGTCAATCGGTGAATAAAGTTATGTGGCTTCAAGACTCACTGTCTCTACCGACAATTTCACCACACCAACTGTTAATCCTAACTCCCAACTGATACGGCACTCCAACTCTTAAATTTCACTAATTTATTAATTAATTGTTATTTACGTGAGTGTGTTGATTAAGACCGTTACATTATTACCGGAGGCGTAAAACAATAATAAGTTTTTATCGAATTTAATAATTTTAAATACACATAATCAGAAGAGGATAATGATTCAGAATTCATAAACTTTTTTTTTTTACAACTACCGTACATAGTATAATCTGATTCATAAGTTTGATATTAATTATTAATTTATTATGTAACATTATGCAAAATTCAATGAAAATTCTTACTTCACGTATCCTATATGAGTCTCACTTTCCTTTTTTTTTTAGTTTCGAAGAAAATAATATATCTTTATATTAAGTATTTAATTTAATTTTAAAATGTATTTTATTTTAATGAAACGATGTATAATCACATAAATATATATCATTTGTTTTAAAGTAATTCTGTATCAAATCAAAGTAACTCATAGAAAATGCGATTGAAGGGAGTAGTTAATTATCATTGTGTTTGATTATAAATAACCAAAGGCAATAGTTATATTTTTTACAAGTAGAAGGACTTGTTACTGTCTTTTGTGTATGATAAGCAAAATAGACCAAGAAGGGTAAGTGGATGACTTAAAATTCATTTTTTTTTCTTTCAAAGTGCTCCCATACTTTGTACTCAAAGTCCATGTCATGGTCAATTAAAGAGTCCTATCCATCCACTTAATTAATTTATTGGAAAATTTATGGGGAAAATTGTGGGCTTCCATTTTCTACTATTTGAGTACTTAAAAGTCTATGAAAGAATTAAATTAGTAGTCTTCTTTGCAATGAGTTGTGAAGAAAAATGTCAATTTCTGAATTGTCCTTTTTATTGAAAGACCAAATGTTTAATTGACTAACATAATGTGCGACTATTTTCATGAAAAAACATTGTTATGTTATTATACACATTTATTTCGGTTTATGTTATGGTGGCGAAGCATGAAATTGAAATTGTTAATTCGACTACAAGAACAATATCCAAAATATTTCTGTAAGTGAGGTTTGGAGAAGGTAATATGTACGCAAATCTTAACCTTATCTCTCGAAGGTAGTAGAGATATTGTTTTTAATAAACTATTGATCAACTAAAACATTTTAAAGTAGAAAATTATTAATTTAACTAAATCTATACCGAAAAATAAATGATACTTGGAATATATAAACTCAATATTTTGGATCTACACCATCACATTAAATCATTGATAGGCCGATAGCAATTTTTGGAAAAAAAAGTTGATGAAATTCTAATGTTGAACCAAGTAAAACTGAAGTTATATTTCATTTAAAGATCATGGATCTAGGCCCATATTTTAAGTGCATTATAGCCCATTATCAATCTGTTGGATATAGGCCCATTTATAAGTACATTATAGCCATTATTAACCAATTCGATCTAGGTCCATATTTAAGTGTATTATGGCCCATTATCAACCAATGGATATAGGCCCAATTCACTACAACAAAAATCACTTTTAGCGGCATTAAATATTGACATTAATAAAGAGTGCTAACATTTTTACAGGCATTAATTAAGTGCTATTAGAACCAATATCGTTAAAGCTTTTAGGGACATATGTAAAGAGTGACAATTACCGCTAAAAATACATATTTAGTGACAATTAAAAATTAAATACAACTAATGATCATTTTTGTTATAGTGATTCCTCGGTAGTCTTGATGACAAAGTTATCATTTAGAGAGGAAGTGGATGAAATTTGTAAACAGATTTTTTTCTATTTTATGACAAAGTTATTTAGATGTGTTTGTGCCCAAATGGATCCATTAATAAAGAGGATTTTTTTTAATTATTTTCGTGTATAGCGATGGTTTCGCCTCTAATTACGTAACAATGCGATAGTAAATATAGTAATTTTATTTCAAAATATTGCAGAATACATTATATTTTAGCACAAACAAAAATATACTTATCATTGTCACTTATATTTTTGTATTCTTTTTCTTTCTCATAAATATTTGGATCTACTATATTTGAGTCGGAGGTCTTTTGCAAATAGTTTTTCTATTTTTTTGAAGTATGGATAGGGTATAATTACACGTTATCCTCTTCAAACTCGACTAATGAGATTACATTAGATATGTTGTTGTTATGAAATATCATTATATTTCAGGCTTGAAATAAGAAGACATATGTTAGGTGTAGCAATATGTGAACTACTAAACCTACGGGTGTCAAATGAACGGGTTGGGTTGATATTAGAAATATTAAAATTGGTTGAATAGATTGGATTAGATCTTGACCTACCCAAGTTTACTTTTGGGCTCAAACGGGTTAAAAAATGGGTTGTGTCTTGACAACCCAATTTGACCCGATTAATCTTAATAACTTAACATATAAATATTTAACTTTTGCAATCACAATTTGAATTTCCGCTCAAGAATTTTTTTTATAAAAAAGGTAATAAATAAATAGATAAATTCTAAAAGATGTTAAATAGATAATAATTTAACATTAAATGTAGGAACATATCTTAATAAAAAGTTTTAAAACGGATTGAAATTGGAGATTGAATTAGGCTCAATTGATAATTCTCTTCAAATGAATTAAGCTTGAAGATTGAACCCAATTCAAATTATCTTGACCCCATCCCTTTAAATTCTTGACAGATTAAGCGAATTTATGTTTGGATTCATTTTTAACACCCCTAAATCTGAACCCAAACTCTAATATGTATCGAATTTTTTAAAAGTATCGCTATTTCGAGTAAATATAGAGGCTATATTTGTTGTATCGTATAGTTTTTCCATTAATAAATTATTCCCAGCTCATCAAACTCTGATGGGTCGTACGTGCTACACTTACATGCCAAATCTCATATCTTTAATTGTGGCTATAGATTTTTTGTCCAACAAATTCAAAAATAAGGAAAATTTTACATATATATATTCGAATTATTTTGTATCAAAATAGTAAACATTTCAGCAGGGTAAGATTAATTATTTTTATTTTCTTAAAAAATATTTGATTGGTTAGTGAAATATTTTCCATGATACATTATTGTAACAAGTAAGAAAAAAACAAATAACAAAGAGTTTAATATGTAAATATCATGTTAGTCGATTATTCAGGACCACCGTTTCACATGTTATTGGATTATTATTGAATTATTATAAATGGTTAATATTGTACCTGAATTTCCCCCATCTAGAAAATAACAAAATACAAATTAAAACAATATTATAATCCAATTTTAGTGAATTTACAATATTATTTTTAGGCTGATAACTCATTTTCTTTTGACCCACTAATTTTCTACTTCTTCAGTAAAGACGAAAAATAAAACTTTGTTGACAGCAAAATATTCTATGCTACTAAGCTTTGAGAAATTTGAAAAAGAAAAAAAAACACTAAGATAATGTTAAGTACTTTCTTTTCTCTCATGTCCCCTCTCCCCTTACTATTTTGTTTTTTTATTTTATATCATCCAAAAATATATATTGTCTTTTGTTATACTACCATGTTTTCTTGTGATCAATATCATGCATAAAATTATCTCATTTATATTAATTTGAGAAACCATATAATATATCACGGGCCAAATGATATATATTCTCATCAAATCCTGAGATTTGTGATCTTCAAAATAATTGACAACGTATATAATTTAGATTTAAAATATCAACTAATGTTTTCGGAAGATGTATAAATAATTTCGCATGTACTTGACTCTGTTCCTTTCTAGTTGTCATGTGTTTTCTTTACTGTACAATCAAATGATAACATTTAACTATGTATTGTATTTATTTTAATTTATTGATATATATAATTTTTAAATATTTAAATTTTTAAATATCAAATCAATATAATCTAATTTATCAGTTAAATTGACTTGTAGAAAAACGCAATATGAGGGAGTATTAATTATTATTAAGTCCTAAAGAAGATACTTAATTACTGGATAAACTTTTTCAAGTTGGACTTGGTATCCATATGTGGATGAGTTTCTGATAATTTGGTAGGTAGAAAAGATGGAAGTGATGATTATAATAATTTTATGTATCAACCACACACCAAATGCACTTTTACATTTTTTTTCAGCATTTAATTTCCACACTCCTATAACATAATGAGTAGTGGCAATGATTTATAATGTTACATAACCAGTTTGGACCAAACCCTACTCTCTCTTTTTTAAAGGAATTTTATTGTTTTTTTTCCTCTTAACATAGTGATGGATTGTATAATACAAGTTTAAACATGTATATTATCACTCACCAATAACGATTATTAAGATTAAATCAACTAACTATAAACAGGTTAAATTAATTTGATGTAAATATTCAATATAAATGTCATATGTATACTTAGGAGCAAACTAGTACAAGCTAAGGATATTCATTTTAACCCCTCGACAAAAATTATACCATATATAAGATAATTTTTTTTTAACGTAAACTTTAGCTTTTGTTTCACAACTAATTATAAAATTCCATGCAACTATATATATATACACAACTACTTTAAGTTACATTAAATTTGTTTGACAATCATCAATAAATGTGGTAGTTATTTATTTTCTCATGCAAGAAAATCCCCATGTTCTCAAATCTATTGTTGCGCTTATTTCATGCAAAAGTACAAGTTCTAAAATTAAAATGGCCCCGCAATTTAATATAAATAATTATTACGCTATCAAGTTAACTCAGTGTATAGTACTCTTTCAGGCCATAATTGTTTGGTAGATATACTAAAAGTAGATGTCCAAGATTAATTATCAATTTAAATAATAAAAAAATAATTAATTACTTTTTTCAATTTTGTCCTTAATGATAATGTAGTTCAATTGAAAAGTTAGGTAGACTTTTGATATTCTTGATAGGGTTATATTAGTTAGATTACATATTGTATTAAATTTTTCTTGAGGGGTGTGCAATACTTAACATGACAAACAATTATGGACGGAGAGAGTAACAAGTTATATTTTTTATTTTGTTTGTAATCTTTATATGAATATTATATACCAAGACAAAATTATACTTTTGAATTTATGAATTTTGAATAATTAACTTTTACGAACAAATAATAAAATTACTGAATTTCGTCGAACTCATAGTCCGTCCTTTCTATTCAAATTTGAGAAAAAGAAGTTTCACAAAATAATGTGTCCTTTCTTAAAGCAAAGGGAAAACGAATACTCAATACCTAATTATGACGCATGACTTTAATTATCATTCGAAATTGAGTATAGAAGCATCCTCATAATGAAAATTCCCATCTTATTTTTCATATAATTTTAACTTTGCTGTAAAACAAAGTGACAAATTCTAAATTAAAGTAAAAGAAAAAGTTAAAAATAGCTTCGAAAAGAACTCTAAAGGAGATTAATGACAAGTATAGTTATATATTCAAAGTGATAAAAAGAAAGTCAAAAAGTTCTTTAATATAAGAAACTTGAAACACACATTGAAAAAAATGAAAAACCAACATCAAATATTTATTTTATTCTTTCTAAAAAGTATTAAAAAACTTAATCAAATAAAGATTTCTAAGACGACCCGCCATTCACGGCAGGTAGACAAAAGTCCAATGAAATAGGTATTGGTTTCTGACTTTTCTTTTTACCGATTACAACATACCCTCTCCGTCAAATAGATATCTAAAATTAATTGTCAATTTAAATAATCAAGAATTTAATTAATTATTTTTTTCAATTCTATCGTTAATAATAGTGTAAATTAATTAAAAAATTAGATAGATTTTTGATATTCTTGATATAGAAGGGTTATATTAGTCAAATTATTCTCTGTATTAAATTTTCATTGAGGAATGTGTATGACCTTACCCTAACAAACAATTGTGGATGGAGGTAGTATTTAAATACATCAATATTCGAGGACAAAGCTAGAATTTTAGTTATAGATCAAACACAACTCAGTAATTTTGATCAAATTCAATATATATGTCAAAAAATCTACATGTACCTTTTTAGGATCGAAATATCATAAACTTAAAATTTTGAATCTGTATCGGACGATGTATGTGTTATTTTAGGTTTTGTTTCTATGTAATTTATTGTAGCATATGAGTCTTGCCATCATCTCCAATGGTGCCATGCCCCTATGCAACTTTCACTTACATTACATGTTTGATATGTGGACAAATCAATCCATTGTAGAGAAAGTTGTCTGGGAATGGGGGTCCCCTTCCAACATTTAATAGTGTAACCATCCACCAAACTATGTTACATTGATATTCATGAATTTAATTTTCACTTCTCTATATCTATTTGCCTTATCCATAAAGAAGCTTGAAGAAATCACATTTTATGATATTATCTTTTTTTTTAAAAAATGAACTAATTAATGATTTTTGTCTCATATTATACTTATATTGATTTGATTTAAAATAAAATTTCACATCTAATATCCAGGTATTATAAGTTATAACTTGTTGTATAAAAATTGTCTCTATATTTCGAGCTCGAATTTGAACTCAAAACCTTCTAAGTTATAGAAATTGCCTTTATATATAATATTTGAACTCGAAACTTATAGTTAAAAGCAGAGACATACTTATATTGTAGTATAAGGTCTTTTGGTAGGTACAGTTAGGAGGTAGAGTTAGTGGGAAGAAAGAGGTTCATCGTTTGAAAATCATGTTATATATTAAAATTATAATGCGAGAATTAGTATTATTAGCGTGCATAAATATGTTTAAAGCAAGAATACATAATTCATAGCCATAGAAATAAAAAAAAAATAAAGCAAATAAAAAAGGTTAAAAACATAGGGATTTTATTTAGATTTTTGAAGCATTAAATGCTTGAGAGTGAAATACTCATGGGAATTGGTGGAGGGAAACAATGGTTGTTGACAAATGTTGGTGGAAATAGTCATTATGTTGATGCAAGTCTCTGTCTTTAAAAACAAATAGAGAAAGAAAGGAAATAAAATAAATGAATTTTCTGATATTAATACGATAAAGGGGGAAAAAAAATATATGGTTCTAAAAAGTGATGATCATCTTTATTTGAGTGATAAAAAAGAAAGAAATATTGTGAAATAAAAGAAAAAAAATAAAGGGAACATAAAGCAAACCGAAAATTGACACCACAAGAAATTAAAATTTGTCTCTATTTCTCTTCCTAATCTTTTTTTTTTTAAAGAAAATTCTTTTAATCGTTGATCAGATACATTTGCATGCCCCTTAATTAATCATATAATATCATGTTACATATATAATTATATACTCAAAACTTTTATTAAGGAAATTTAAAATATGAAAAATATATACAAGAAAAAATTGAAGATGATTCAACATTTATTACACGGAAGCTTAATATAGTCTTTGAGTTAAGGCTCAAAGTGATCCTTGAGTTTTCACCTAAAGCATTAATAGTCCCTCATATTTGCATATCGATGTATTTTTATCCTCCCCTCAAATTTTGTCTATTTTTTAATACTAATTTTATTCAAAATTTTATATAACGAATTACCAACAAAAGAAATTTGGATGAACTCTTCGATCCTACGCAGTTGACCATCTGTTATTTTATCTACACATATGGTAGTAGTGATGATAAATTAAGATGGTGCATTTTAGGTCCCCAAAAGAACAGTCTTCAGTGTAACAGCAAAAAGCACATCTCAGTTTTCTTTAGGAATAAATATTTCAAGTTTGGTAGGTACTCATAAGTCATATCTTTGATAAAGTGATATTATTAATCATAATTAAGCATACTTGGCATGATAATTATTTATGTCAGAAATTAAATCTAGAAAAATATAATTAATCTCTCACTACTAGACTAATTATAGAATTACTCTGCTCCAGTCAAATATTACATAGGAGACATAATTATAGGTACCAACATTTACTGCACATAAGAGTCATAGACGCTACATTTTATTGATTCATTTTAGCAAAATTAAAATAGAACTTAACTCATAGTCATATAACATTAGACTTGTTCCATTATATTATAATTATACATGAAAAAAACACCCAAAGATAAAATCTGTAATTTAATTAACACTTTTTTCTAATAAAAATATAACTTAGACAAAAAAAAAAGAGGAAAACAACATCAATCATAATTGGGACACATAACATTTGTTTTGGCTCACTATGGTTATAACTTTTTTGTTTTCAATTTTTGGAACAATTTAAGGCATGTTCTCATCATCTTGAAAATCTTCATTCTCAAAGTTGTTGTTGTTGCTGTACTCATTGTTGCCATAGGTGTTCTTGTTGTTGTATTGTTGGTTCATTGCAGCAAATTCCTTTGCATTTTCATATGGATCCCTGGCATGTCTACCAGCATTAATATCATAGTAAAATTTCCCATTACCCAAGAACCTTGTGTCACTCATCCCCTGTTGTTGGTGCACTCTGTAATTGCTATTCCCAGTGTTGTAACTCTGTTCTTCATTACTGTTGTAATTTGTGGAGTAGCTCTGTTCCTGATTGTTGTTGTAATTTGTTGGGTTGGTGTTGTAGCTTTTGGCACTCAATCTTGTTTCAGTAAACTCCTGTTGTGGTTCATAATTGTTGTTATAATATGTATTAGAAGCGTTGTAGTACTCCTCCTCATTGTTATCATTGTTGTTGTACTGTTGGTTGTTGCTGTAAAAACTGTCACCACTATAGAACTGTTGCTGCTGGTAGTTGTTGTTGCTGTTGTGGCTTTTAGTACTGAAATCGCTGACGCCGTGGTAGTACTGTTGCTGCTGGTTGTTATTGCTGTTACTGCGGTAATTGGTGGGACCACTGTAGAATTGGTTGTTATTCAAGTTAGTGGTGGAGGTTGAGGCATCAATACTGTGCTTGGATGAAAAGTTGTCGTTGAAAGTGTTTTCGTTGGTGTTGTCCTCTGCAACAGTTACATAAGAAACAGGGTTGTAATTTTTGGGAAGGTATTTGCTGTTGGGAAAATTGTTGTCGTTGGTATTAGTGGTCGTAGAAGGAGTCGAAACAGATTCATGACCATAAAGGCCATAAGCACCATTTTCATTTTCAGGCATGAAATTTGGCTCTTGTTGCTCTTTATTAGGAACAACTGTTGCTGCTTCCTTTTCACCATTGTTGCTTGGGACTTTGTTGAAAAATTGACCATCCCTTGCATGAAGAACTTGGAGTGAGGTAAAAAGAGCAAGGAGGAAAATAACAGAGAAACTTTTAACAATAAAAGCCATTTCGAATAGAAAATCAAAGAATTTGTGTTGGTGTTAGTTTTCAATGCTTGTCAACTTTGCAATATACTCTCCTTATATAGACACCCTTTATCCCTCTTTTGTGTGTGTCTATACTTTTTTTTTTTGAATTTTTTTTTATAGTTCAAAATTCTCAAATATTTATTTATTTATTTTTGAGTGAGGAGTGACTTTCATTCCTCCAATTTTCATGCTTATTAGGTGCAAATGGGGACAGGAAAAATGGAAGGAAGCTGGTCCCCATGCGTAATTATAGCACTTTAACAAAATGGTTCTTAATTTGTATAACCGAATGCATAAATTATTATGTCACTCGAAAGATAATTATAAAATATTTTTTTTATAGTAAATAGATCAAAGATCAAAAATAAAATAAAATTATATATATGAAACTTGCAGAAAACAATAATCATATGGATTTAACTTTGTTTTTAAGATTTACTCATGCGGGTTGAAAGCGTAATCCTTATGTTTTAGCTAAATAATATACATTTTTTCCCAATATGTTAAAACTCACACAACAAAATCAGTAATGATTCTTTGGAATATAACTTTAAGCTTTTAGGTTTTACACAACTTTTGATGCATATATGGCAAAGGATCCCGAGGTGGTAGGTTCCAATTAAGTAAAATCCAGGCCCAAAATTCCCACTACAATAACTCAATTGATAATAATAATAATAATAATCAAAATAAATGTGTAACATAAATTGATACCAAATAATTTCAATATGGAAGGTACAATATTAAAATTCCTCAATTCAAAATTCAATCCGAATTATATTTATTTACTGTCATTTGATATTCAAACTTCGCTAGACCAGATTAATTTTTTTTAAGAATGAAACTCCTCTACCTTTTATGGGGTAAGTTAAAAAGTTTGCGTTATATTTAAATATATATAAAAAAAATCAGTAATGAGCATTTGAGGATAATTATGAAACAATTAAAAAGAGATAAAAAAAAGAAAAACGTGTGAAGAGATTGAAGGGAAAATTGGAATGAGAAGAGGCGGGGATTGTGGAGTGGCTTTGAAAGGAAAGAAAAGTGTGGGAGGGTAACATTCAGAGTTATGGGATTTCATTGGCACATACACACACCATGTGCTTATTCTTTTAATACATTTGATAATGTCAATAGAGGTATCTTTTTTTGTTCTTATGCTTAAGTTTTCATACTAAATCAGCTGGTATTTGATATCTATGTTAGAGTCTGTATAGACGATAAAAGTGATTCTACATTTAAAAGGATTTGAATTTGAGATCTCTAGTTAAGAATGAAAGAATACTTTTTATCATTCTACCACAATCTTTATTGGCACATGTCTACATTTTTTAAGTGAATGCAAAACTAAGTTTCGATGAGTTTAATTTTTATAAACTGACAGTAAAATATTACTCTATTCATTTACTTTTATTTGTGACATTTGGACTTCTGTATCAATTAAGATGATATTTTTATCATTCAACTCTTATCGATTGATGTATAGTATTACGTCTTTAAAAGTAATTTGAATATGCGTAATTAGTGTTAAGAATAAGTACAAATAATAAAAAATAAAAAGATTCTTGGATATGTATGATAAAATGACGAGAAAAAAATAAAATTTATTTTTTAAAATAATGAATAAGTAAAAATGAACTTAAAGAATATTTATATTAGCAGATCATTAAAATTAATTTTAAGTAACTATCTATAATAAGTGAAACTAGTCTATCAAAAAACAAGACAAATAATCTACTATAATATATTAAATTACACTAATAATGTGGAAAATTATTAATTCATGTCTTAAGGGTGCATAATAATGTGAAGATTATTAATTCATGTTTTGAGGGTGCATAAGTTAGAGATGTAAGCAAAAATAGATAAAAAAAAATATTCTTATAATACAAGTGTGTGATTACTTCATCTAAAAGTTCAAATTATTAGAGAAAGTTTAATTTTATTATTTAATTACATTTTCAATAAAAATATTATTTTTAAATATTTTTCCTCGTACCAAACAACCTCCTTAAAACTTATTTTCCATTCTCTTCTTTTTATATTTTGCTGTTACATGGACAGTCTAGTAATGAAAACTAACTACCAAACCCACAAATATGAAGTATGGCATGCTATTTAAACCTTTTATTTTCACCCGATGTGTGATATTTTGCACAAAAATTCAAATTATTTTGAATTGGCATATTATAAAATTTTATTCAATGAAAAGTACTTAATACTAAAAATTTCAAATCTCAGACTTATGATGATTAAAAAATGAGCATCCCTCCTACCAAGCATGTTCTTTTTACTTTCAATTTTGTCACTTCCCAAATTTAGTTTTTTTTTTGTTAAAAGATTATGCTATACAAAAATCTTGAAATAAATAAATAAATAAACTCCAACGGCCCCCTACCTAAAACAAAAAGGTTCATACTTGAGAGAACTCAAAACAATAAAGAGAGAAATTGGTGGAGTTAAATATCAATAATTTGAAGACGACGTGCTACTTAATTGCACTATTTAGTGCAATTAATCCCAAATTTAGGAGACGACAAGTTTCAAATAATAAAAATAGAATTGTTCAACTTTTAAATTATTACTACCTTCGTCCAATATTAATTGTTAATATAAATAAGAAATCAATTTAAATTATTGAGAATATAATTAAATAATAAAAAGTGTGCACTCTCTGACAATTTAAGCTTTTATATAAGATGATCGATTACAATCAGAGCAGATACTCTAAGAACTTAGTCTTTTATATAAGATAATCACACACTTTAACAAAAACATTGAATTGATTTTGTTTTTATATTACCTTTAAAATTAATTAATAAGAATATTTTTATTTATGATTTCGTAAGAAAATTGAGTCTTTCTATCCAACCTTACATGACTTACTTTTTTTTTATAGTCAATTTTAAAAGAATGATATATTTTTATATTTGGTAATAGTTAACTTTAAAATGTCATATAAATATTTTAGTCATATAGATATTCATCACTTATTTTATATCATAAATTTTAATTTTAATTTTATTTTTTTATCTCAAATTAAATTAATTCATATAAATTGAGACGGCGGAGTAAATAAAATTTACCCAGGGAAAGGAGTACAAAGCTCCTTTTTTTTTTTTCTGACTATGATCAGAAAAAACAGACAGAATTAAATTAAAATAAAATAAGGGGGATTTGTTATTGGATAGGAAGTAATTGACAGTTGATTAGTTGGTTGAAATTAATGCCATATTTTCCCAATTTTGGTTCATTTTCTGCTTTTTACTACAATGTATTTATTGATATTTATTTCAAAATGTAATGCTAGGTGCCTCCATTCATTTTTTGGATTTATGATTAAGGCGACTACTCTTACAAATTGTTGGCTTGTGCACTTATAGTTGTATTAGAAATAAATATTTCTAAGTAATAATTTATGAACCTCCCTTTAAAAGTTAGATGAAATATTGTAAGAGTCATATTCAATGCCTCAAAATTTCATCTACACAAAAATTAAAATAACTTAAATTTTGGTCCAATTTTTCAAAGAAAGGACTATTAGAAAGTGTGCAGTTCAACTACCTAAATTAAGATAGATTTATGAATTGGTCTAACAAGTCCAATGGAGTTAGTTAATGTGATGCATATATGAGAAATTAAGAGTCTAAAAGTCTAGCATGTTGGCTTTGAGAGGGAACATTATGTTATAGGGAAAGAGTAATCACCAAAAGAATTATTTTTTAAACGGTGATGACTAGGCTAGCTCGTGCATAGCTAGACTAATTTACTAAATTATTTATTACTTCGATTCAATATAACTATTGAATAATTCTAATTATCAAAACTTAAATTTATGAAAGAATAAATTGCTTACAATATTTGGTGTATTATTACTATATTGATTGATTTATCTTGCCTCCTGAGGGCAACTTAAAGTTTGAATCACAGTATCACGGATTCGTTAGTTTATTTTACATTTTCATATTTTTCATTTATTTATATCAAGAATGACAATAATAGCCAAAGAAAATACAACTCACCCACTCGTTCAAATATGTAGTTTAAATTGGCCAACAAGAAACTTTGTCCAAATATTTTTCGATTTGTTATGAGCTATAATAACAAAATTTTTATTTTTTGTGATAAACTAAATTATAAAATAAAATTATATGGAAAATGATTCGAAATATACCCAAATTTTGATTGAAATTGCTTTAATGATATCGAACTTTGAAAATGACCTGTTACCTCTTGGATTATTTAATAATGTATTTTAAAATTATATATGTGCACACATTATTATTTATAATGACGCAATATTTATGATGTTCACGTGAAATAAATATACATTTTAAATACACTACTAAATAGTGCGGGGGTGGGGGCATGAAAGGTCCTTTCCATAGTTCGATATCGTTATAACAATTTCGATCAAAGTTCAAATATATTTCAGACCTTTTTCTCAAGTAATAATAAGTTTGAATTATGACCTATTTTTTAGCCATCTTGACTCAATTCATCTCAACATATAACTAAGGTCGAGATACGATTGGTCGATGTAATTTATTTTTTCAATTCATTTTAATCCGTCCAAATTCAATCAAATCGTTGATTCACACCACCTTAAATTATGAATAAGAAAAGAAAAGAAGGAATATTGGATCTTTTTTCTTGGTTTCTCCTAATGTGTGGTATTTATAGTAGAACCCGATTAATTTCAAATTCGCACCCATATTGAATAGAGAGGTAAAACGCTTCCTAATGAAAATAACTTTGTATCTAAGAAGATTCAAATTTAAGATCTCAAATTCAGTATAAATTAGTTTATAGTTTGTCCTTGTCATTGGTGTAAAGCGTAGGATGGTAGGGTTGAACCTTAGTTGCAGGGCCTGCCCATAAATTATGGCTTGATTGACTGTACAGTAATCCACTAGAAATGTAGTGGGTGGGGGTACCACTCCACAAAATATAAGACCTAGAGACACATAAGTGGTTTTAACTAATTAACTACCCCTCTTACTTTTTTTTTATTTATCTTGTAAAAAAAGATAAATCAAAATTATTTGATAAAATACTCTCAATCAACATAACTTGATTTTATATATATATATCTATATATTTATTCATCTTGTTCTCATTAAAAGTTTAATGCATATTCAAATTTGTTGTTTGATTGAGTGTACTTACTGTAGAGACACGGAGTAAGTGATTTAGATAAGTTATACATTTTTAAATACATGTTATTTTTAAATTATATTATTTTTTTTCTGATTTTTCAGATAATCAACTTTTAAATGATTGATTTATTGGGATTACTACAACTAATATTATCCCTCCCCAAAAAACTTTTCTTATGACTTCGAACCACAATGTAAAATTGATTTTTATCCCACTTCCGTTAAAGACAAAAAAAGAGATATGTGAGGTATTTGTGTAATAATAGAATATAAATAAGTTACTTTTATAATGAGATGTATATCAACTTTAAATAACAAAGTTTAGGTATATATCAAATCTTTTTTTCAAGAAAAATAACCCGCTAAAATAAAATCATTACTATCTCCGTCTCATATTAGTTAATCACTTTTCTTTTAACACACAAATTGAAAAATCATAAATAAAAAGATATGTAATTTTACTAATTCACCCTTTAAAAAACTTGTTAGGATTTACAAACAAGCTTTTTGACTGATGAAAAGGAGGAATAATTAATCTTGCCCTAATCAAGCTTCTATTAGACTAATAATAATAAGCACATTCACATGATTTGATATTAGAAGTTAATTAAGGAGTGATTAGGCCACATCTCTTGGGATAAACAGAAGAAAGGACATAATTACTTCACTTAATCTAACTTTATTGTCAACCTTTTTACTAATATTTGAAACAAGCAAATCCATTCACAAGAAAGAAAGAAAAAAACAACTAAAAGGAAAAAGCCAAAACAAAAGTACCAAAGACTTTGACCAATCAATTCTCTTTCTTACCCCCCCCCCCTTTTTTTTCTTCTTGAGTTTAGTAATTAACTGCGTAATTAGCGGACAGGGAAATTGGCAAGTCCACTAAGTTTTTTAATTAGTAAAAAAAATAAAATTTTGTCTTTGATGAAATTGAAAATTTTGGTATAACGCAAAAGACTTTCTAAAGTCTTGTGGTGTTTTTATTAGATTAAAAAATAATAATTCTAGAAGGGAGAGTCAATCTAGGAGATAATATCGGAAAAATTAGACGATTTTAATTTTTCTAAAGTATTCATATGGTAAGATTAATGTAGCAAATTGATTTTTCCATTTATACTTGAAAATATATATATATATATATATATATATATATATATATATATATATATATATATATATATATATATA